CTCGTGGAAGGGGTGCTCCACTTGGTGGAGGGAAGTAGTGCGTGGACACTCATCCGGGAGGCCCGCTTGGGATGTCTTCCAGAGTAGGAGGACGAAGGTGACTTGGACGCGTTGGAGTCGCGCGAAGAAGAGGGAGAAGTCGGTCCAACGACTTTAGACGCTACTTGCTCCTCGACGTTGGCGGCCATGGCACCAGGCGCTTCCTGCTCTCGACGTCTACATAGAAGTCAGGATAACACACAAACACAAGAGAACCTTGAGCACGCACCCAATCCGATACGTTTGCCGCCCATGCTGATTGACGAAGGCAGTGATGGCATATGGTGAACGAACGGTCGGTCCTACGCCGAGCTTCAGGTCCAAGATACGCTTCACCTCCCTCGCAGCCGGTCCAGAGGATGTCTCAATGAAAGTCTGGTCGACTGTAGCGCACGCGCGTGATGATGAGTGAGCACGGATGTCACTAGCCAAGGATACACCAACGAGATTCGACCCACCTGATATGGAAACATCTGCGGACGCTATCTCAGGAGGAAGCGAGCAGGAAAGGGACTCCGTGCCCTCCGAAACGAGGTCTGAGAATATGAAAGAAGCTCGTCCGGAGGCAGTAGGAGATGGTGTTGACAGTGGGAGCTGCAGCCCGGATGTGGTGGAGGCCGTTGGAGAAGAGGATGAGGACGGTTCTGCCGAGGAATCCAAAGCACGAGCAAGGGAAGAGGAAGAAGCTGAAGCTTGCAGCGGGGACATTAGATGGTCATAACTAATCAGGTCTGGAAGGTTCGGAGAAGGTGATGAGTGCTGAGGAAGCTCTGAAATGGTGCAGTGTCGAGGTCGCGGGAAAGGGATCAATTCAAAGTGACTCTCACAAAATGATCCCGGTCAGTAAACGATTACGGATATCTCTTATCTCATCCTCCAAGCGCCTACCAGAAGCGCTGTTTCGTCCAAGGCTCAGACCAAGAAACAACAAGTTACGACTTTATAGAGGCCAAGGACTCCGGTGATACGAATAGTACATAAGCGAGCAAACGACACAGTGAGAGATCTACGAGTAGCCGTCGACGAAGCAAAAGCAAACTTTCCAAACCCGCTCAATACCGGGTCTCCTCGCCACCCAAGCTAGGTGACCGCTGCATCGGGCTCCTGCCGCCTCTTTCTTGTCTAGGAGTGGCTGGTCGCTCGGCAGCCTGCTGCGGACTCAGCGAAACAACAACACCGTCGACTTCATGGTCACTTTCAGGCGGACTGTTCGCCGCACTACCTCCCCTGCTGCTCTGCCCCGACGTCGTCCGTCTTTGCCGCCGTGCGTGGAATGTTCTGCTGGCGGTCGCATTTGAAAATAGAGGTAGAAGGTATCGCTCATCCAGGGCCTGGAACCACTTGCCGTCCTGCTCGACCAGAGGGACGTCTCGACCACTCCGTCCGTGCGGTCGACCAGCGGGCGCACCTGGCTGTGTTGCTGGAGCCATGGGCAGAACCTCGGCATCAGATTCAGAATCGGACGAGGCCGCCGAGAAAATCGTTTGTTGGTTATCGGGGGTTCTGGCGTGAGGAGCGTAATGAGTGCCAATGCGAGCTGCTGCGCGCGCGTGCTCCTGATGTGGATCGAACGGTGTGCTCTCGTCGTCTATGTATCTAGACCAGGGACCACTTCCGTAGCCAGCACTGGGCGCGGATCTTCTCCCGTTCCATCCTAACCGACTCATCCCCACTCGCTCGTCTTCTTCGTCGCTACTAGCAGCTTCGTCTTCCACCCCAGTCCGTATGCCAAGCACCTCGAGCATTCGGGCCGTGGTGCCGCCGAACATGAGCACAGTAAGCACCACGACGACTAGAACCGTGGTGCGCAGGGTGGCCGCGTTCTCCCCCGTGAATCCGGAAGCTAGTGCTACACCGACAGCGCCTCGTAATCCCGCCCAAAACAACATCATTTGGTACGAATGCGGGAGCTCCTCGGTTCGTTGGCCGCGCGCGTGGCGTTGGAACAGGTTGATTCCTTCAGAAAGTGGGAAGACCGAGGCGTAACGGGTGAACACGACAGCGACGGTGGTGACGACGATTAACAGCGGCTTCACATAGCTGCCCACTTTGACCGACGTCGGGGCGGAGGTGAAGAGGGAGAGTCCGAGGTAGATAAAGATGAAGTTCTCGGAGAGTCGCGCCAAGGTGGAGAAGATGTACTTAGTGGTCCGCTGTGTTCTTCGTGACATGATGTGGTACGCATAGTGTTTGAGCGTGATGCCGCAAAACAGGAGGGATACGATGCCGGACATGGACAAGCCATTGGAGAGGAAGTAAGAGGTGTAGGCTACAAGGGACACAAGACACGACTCGATGTGGGGATATTGGTGGAGCGAGGAATGCTTGAGCAGCAGCGACATGGCTAATCCACAAATAACTCCAAGCGCCATGGAACCGCTGAATGAGACTAGAAAGATGCCGATGCCGTGAAAGACCGCTGAAAAGCCGGGGTGGAAGACGTCGGAATCCTTGAACTTGCTCAGCGTTCTGATGATGATGAGCGCAGTTAGCTCGAGAGCGGGGAAGTGTAGGTGACCAGCGACACTCACTCGTACATGACGATACTGACGGCATCGTTCAACAGGCTCTCTCCGAATATCACAGTGTAGAGCTTGGGGTCCACTTTGTACTGGTTGAATATGGCGAGAATGGTCACCGGGTCGGTGGCAGATAGTGTTGAGCCAAACAGCAGGCACTCGAGTATTGACAGATCCAGCGATTCTATCCCGAGAGCTGCGTACACGTAGACAAGTATCCTGCACTGCCAGGTGATCAGACGAATATGCTAACACGGCGCACGAACCACGTACCCAACACCGACAGCCGAGATGAATGTCCCGAAGAACGCGAACACCAGGATTGACCCAAAGTTACGAAAGAAGTTTTCCTGCAACATTCAAATCAGCGAGCACCGCCGCAGGAGAGTCAAGCTACTTACTTGCTTCAGCTCGTACCCGGAGTTGAGGATGATTGGAGGCAGAAGCAGATTGAAGAACAGAGTATGCTTGAACGTCTGCAGTGATGCCGCGTTAGATAGACACGTCTGGTGAATTCCAGCCAGAATGACATACAAGCATCTCCTTGACCATTCCCACAGGCGCAAGCCGCACTATCATCCCCACAAACATCCCAGCAAAGATGGACACGAGAGTTTCGTGTACGGCGCGAATTCGTTTGATTTGGAGATAGTACGATGTCCACAGGGACAATATTAGGAGCATGCACACAAGGAATAGTGACCATGACGAGTAGAACTCTTCGTCCATCACTGGCGTATCTGTCGCTGTTGGGGTCGCGGCCGCCAGTACGACTGAAGTGGGATGGAGGGCCATGACGGCGGGAAAGGGCTGGCAGCTACGTGCTGGTGCCGGAGTGTGTAGATGTTGGTCGGAGGTAAGAAAGGTGTTTACGTAACCTCTGAAGCTGTGTTTAGCTCTGTTTAGCTTGCGCTGCTCATTGCAAAATAATCCCATTTCACTTGCAACCAGTGCATAGATGGATGAATAGTAGTTCCCAATGAAGATGCTGAGTTGAAAGGTATATGTGCGTATTTCAGGCTACATATATACAGTATGCACATGTGTTGTGTGTGATTCCACAATCCTCGCCTCCTCTCTCAGTAGCCTCACACATGCCCTGTACACGGTGAACGTGGAGGATCTGTCCCACTTCCTCTTTCCATATAAGTGCCCCCTGATTTTACAGTTGCAAAGCCACCGAGACATTACGTCCACACTATGGTGCACGAATGACACGGAGGTTCCGGCACTGGCTCCAGGAACGAGCAATACACCGAAGAGATACGGTTATCCCAACGGCCCAGAGCAGAGGCAGCGGCTCCCTGCATCGGCACCCCATCTCCATTCTGCCCAGAGACAAAATTACAATTGGCTGAGCTGTCGTCGCATACCATGAGCATATGCACCATGCACAAAGAATACACAAGAACACGCACTCGTAAACCATGCATTCCATGCCTTCCCAATGCGAGTTAATCTTCAGGCTGCTGATCCTATTGTTGACCTCAAGCGGGACGCCGACACAGTCCCAAAGGCGCGGGATCCAGATGTTCCAGCATTCACCAGAGAAGTTGGCTCCATCGCAGGCGTACAGGATGTCCATGGGGTTCCGACTTTCGAGGGACTTGGCGTTTAGTGCCCTTCCTTCGGCGGGGGAGCGAAGTGGAGTGAGGCCGGCGGGGGCAGGGGTGAATGACGCCTGCAGGAGAAAGCATGTTGTCGGTAAGAACTATGCGCTTTTGGATAGGTTGCCTCTAAGCGACTCACCACGTCAATTGGTGCGCCAGCCTTGATCGTGGGCGGCGTGGCAGTGGGCATAGGGAAGGCAGCGCCAGAGACCAGCGCAGGAACGCTCGACATACCGGCAAAGGCGACTGTGGCGACGGCCAAGCGCATTGCTGAAAGAGAGAGGACTGTGGACACAAAAAGGAACTTCTCGAGCTGAAGAACTTAGCAGAACCTCGGACTGTATTTATACTTGCGCAGGCCGCTTCCCCAACACAAGGCGGGATTTCGGCTCAGTTGCTTTCTGATGACGAAGGAGGACCAAACACGATGCCGCGGAGAATACGGATAATTTGAAGGAGTTGTCCATGGTACAACTACGCGACGACAGTTGACGTCGACGTTGCACAACAAAGATACGGATGTCTCTTGAGATAGTAAAGAATGCAATCGCGCTGATCTTGAACTGCTAAACATACATCTCGTAAGCCGCTAGATACAATTTCAGGCACCTGAAGTTGAATCTGGAACGCTCGGGCGTGTTGCCAGCGTCGACATGGATATGTAGAGTATGCCACGAAGCTGACATGGGATGGGAACCTTTGATCTGTTGAGCGACGCCTCGTTGTTGGTCGTGGAAGTTCAGAAGGTGTGCCTTTCCCACCCGAGCCGACGATTGACGGCACCTCCAAGGAATTTCTTGTTGCACTTTAGAAGCAAAAAATCAGACTACGTGCTTGGTTGGCTCAGTTGGAAGAGCGTCAGTCTCATAGTCTGAGAGCGTTATGCGCTTGCAATCTGAAGGTCGTGAGTTCGAGCCTCACACCGAGCACTGACCAGTTCGCCATGTCTTGTGCATCGCGTCGCTTTTTCTTTTTTCCTTTTTCCTTCGGATTTTAGACTTTGGTCTCCTCAAGGCCCGGTGCTCATCAGTCATGACCACAATGCCACTGGCCCACTGCCAAATGGTGCCAATGGTTCTCTAGATTTTCTTAGCTAGTTCCTGAATCCCCTCTAAGGCTACCGGTAGCTTGCTGGCAACCTCAAAAATGGCAGAAATTACGAATTGATACATTGTCAGTATGTGTAAGTCAACGACATGCTAAGCACTATGTAAATAGTCCAGGTATATCAGTAAACATAGCAGCAGTAGCTATGTAAGGGCTATGTTTGTTTGTGAGTACTCCTTTCTATAAAACTGTGGATAACCACAGCCGAAAAAAAGCGTCCTTGGTATCCAAAGAAAGATCCTGTCCAGCCGTGGTACCAGCGCTCGGAATCACCACCATCTACATCCACCTCACCAACAACCCACCCACTACCCCACCGACCAACACAGCACTCAATCCTCGGGGACTCAGCCCCACCGCCCCCGACCCCGGCTGCATCGGACTCGTATTCCCCAAATACCCCCTAACCCTCGCATCATGCCCATTACTCGTCGCCAACACCTCCGGCGGCACCGTCGCCGTGTTCCTCGCCTTATCCACCGCTGACGTCGAATACGTCGCGGTCGGCTGGGAACCGAGTCTATCGGCGGCGGCGATGGCGTCTTCGGTGAGGTAGACGAGGGCGAAGCCGGGGGCGGGGACGGGGACGAGGCATGTTGAGGTGGTGAGGCCTTCGTCGGAGGTGGAGGGGGTGCAGGAGATGGTTTCCATTGTCAGTTCGCCGGTGGGTCGACCGTCGGATTCGAATTTACCGCCGAATGACTGCGAGTCGAAGAGGACAAGTCAGCTTCAGGTCAATGGGAAGACGGACTACGTACCTGACCACCCCACGTATACCCGCTCAACTGCGTAACCGTATCGCTCGTCAACCTCTTCACCTTCACACTCCCCACCGACCCCGGAACCTGCACAGTCGCCGTATAGTCATGCGCACCACTCTCATCTTGAATATAGTTGAACAGTGCCAAACGAGCGGGCGTGTCTCCCTCGTGGATGACGTATCCTGGGGTGAACTCGCTGTTGTCGTTCACGAACAGGTCAGCGACGCGGGCTTCGCCGGAGTTGCCGATGACTTCGGCCATGATGAGGATGGAGTAGTACGTTGGGCCGACGGTCCATTGGTAAAAGGAGGATACGTTGGTGGGGGGCGCTGTGAAGGGCTGTCGACCATCGATCGTTTCAGCGAGATGCTCGGTACCAGCAAAGGAAAGGAAAGAAGGGGAAAGAGCTCACGTTATAAACAACACTCTGTCCACCCACATGGAACAGCGCCTCCGAGAAGTTCGTATACGCCATCTGAAGTCCGTAATCCAAGGACCACAAAGCGCCTGCAAACGCATTACTGATTCCCGGGAACCCACCGCAAGAAGCGGTGTTCGTCTCGAACATGATGAATGGCTTGTTCACCGTCTGCGCGAAGAGGGCACTGTCGACGTACTGGCCGACGAGTGCTTGGATGGAGGCGTGCGAGAGGTACTCGGCAATCTTGTCTTGCGGGTTAATGATGTCGCCAGCGTTGCCGAAGACGGCGACACAGTTGTTGTTCGGATATCTGCGAGGTAGCGAAGGGCGTAGGGCGTAAGAAAGAAAAGCGTCTGAGATAGATGAGGAGGAACAGACGAACCTTTCGACTGAGATATACGAGATCGAGTTCGCGTTCTCTTGCACGAGACCAGAGTTCCACACTTCTTGCAAGGGCCACTCCGATGCGACGCTGGGAGTAATGATCTTGTTTCGGACACTCTCGTATTGCGGGTCCGAGTCGAACGTAGCGATGACCTGTTCAACCTCGCCTTTGTAGTTGTTCCAATCCCACGGCTGAGCGTAAAGAGGTCAGACGGATGCATTGAGAGAAAACTGGGATACACTGACCTCTGTCCGACGCCCAAACTTGACGTAAAAGTCAGGTTCATTACCCGCTTGAAGGCCGATGAGGCTGTCGCCCAGAATGTCCACTCCAGCCTGAACAATATCCATCCTGAAATCTGTGGTCTTGAAGGGGATGCCTAGCAGCGTGTGAGTACCAACTCCATCAACTACGTGGCGACGTGGAGGGACCTACCCAAGAACCATTTCACTCCAGGGACCAACTTCGAAATAGCACCCAGCGTATGTATGAGCTCAATCGTATAATCGATCGGCGGTGTATTCGTCTTCCCAACAAACATCAGTCCATGCCAAACTCAACACGGCTCCACCAAGTTCATGCACTCACCGTACCAGAGCCCAACTCGTAATGCTTCGAGATCATCGCACCGTCTGCATTGCTCTCCACCATCATAGCCGCCTCCTGTGTGTTTCCACCACATCGGATGTGCACCTCGCCGGCTCGCTCCACGATGTTGGACATCAAATTGAGGAAAGGCACTTTGATGTACGAACTAATTTGCATGGTCAGATTGGGCTAAAAATAGATCACAAGAGGAAGTAAGTGGCTCACCTGTTCTTTCCGTCTGTTCAACGAAAGCGGTGGTGGTGATGTCAGCCTCGGAAGGACTCGAATGCAGAATCAAGAGACGACGTACAAACTTGAGCGGAGACAGACATCTCGATGGAGAAGCCGAAGAAGGGGTTCTTGTGAATGATCGATAATCCGGCCTGCCTGTCCGTCGTGGCTAAGTTGATAGGAAAACCAGTCGAAGGGAACTCGGGCGGAGGAGGAGCGTTCAGTGTGAGAGGGTTGTAAGCTGGCTCTCCGGTGTACGTGGCCATCGCGTCGCCAGCAGTGGCCGCAGCGCTTGCGGATGCCTCTAACATCTCCTGGAGTGGGTGGTATACGGTGACTGAGGCATGGACAGTCGTGAGATGACTTCCGAGAAGAGACACCAGGGAGAGAAGGCGTATGCGGTTGAAGAAGCCCATGTTGGGACGAGGAGGAGGAGGAGGAGGAGGATGAGAAGGAAGACGAGAAGCTCGACGTTCCAAGGTTATTGTCAGAGGGCGTGAGAAGGGGAAGAAAAGGTAACGGCGACTGCGGATTGTGGCTATTTATGGGTGGTGTGTATTTTGCTGTCATTCTCTTGGTTGGTAGGATGATGAATCTAAGCTAGATCCATCGGCTGAGAGAGGCCGTGTTTGAATGCCGGGGCGTCCAGATTAAGAAATCCTCCGGTAACAACAGGCGCCCGTGAGTTTATTTTTAGAACTCTACTGATCAAGGTGGGCCGTTGCGCCCGAGGAATCTCGACCTCTTTCGGTGGTCTATCCATCGTACCAACCGGCGATGCTGCGAAACTGCTGGCTGGCAACAGTACAGGAGATGCGTGCTGAAATCGTCGTAAGCGGTGCGAGTTGAACGTTGATCGTTGAACGTTGACCTACCAAAGAAGCTGGCCCGCGATGGTAGAGAGTCGCGCCGTGCTTCCACATTTCGTAGCAGCGAGAATACTTGCAAGGTCTGTCCAATAGTCACTACACCGAGCGCGCCCTGTCCGAGTCTGATACACACGACGAATTCTCACTGCAAAAAACAAATGAGAGTCTGAGAAAACACCTGCGACCACACACCTGCAGATCCGTACCCTCTCCTGGATTGCAAGCGGGGACCCGTTGCTCTTCCAAAACTCAGCTTCCATTGCAACACTTGTCCTACATCTAGATGTGCAAAGCAACAACAACTCTCAGAACTTGACCCATGGACATGCTGGACGAGACGCATAAGCAAGTCATTCGACAAAGATAGGGTATTATGGCGAGAAGTAGAAATACAATAGATACATCTCCACCAGCCGTAGGGATTGCAATGAATATCCAAGAGCAATGTAATGCATGAATGAGTTCGAGGGGGCAAACGCGAGATGGATCGACGAATAAGTGCAAGAGGTGTAATTAAGCAAGGGGGTAAAAGTCCATGAGTTCTAAAAAGGGGAAGGAAGGGTCTATCGAAGCCTGTGCAGCACCGTCCACATCGTCGCCGCAACAATCCCCAACGACGCAACGCCCAACCTCGCCAACGTCGTCGCACTGCTCTGACTTCCGTAACTCGTGCTTCCAAGGAATCCTCTAACAGTCTCGTTATGGCCATTGCTCGTCTCCAGCGCAGCACGGTCAATAGTCGCGGTGTTCCTGTCCCTGCCAACGGCACTGGTCGCGTAGGTCTGAGCTTCATCGTGCGCTGATGCGCCGCCGTCCTGGAGGAAGACGAGGGCGAATCCTGGGGCTGGGACGGAGACGGGGCATCGGGATCCACCGCCTTCGCCGGGGGTGCAAGGGAGAGTCTCGATGACGTATTCACCGTGAGGTCGGCCGTCTGCTTCGAAGTTGGCAGCTCCCCAGGTCTACAAGGAAGAACATCCGGTCAGCATACCAGCACAGAAGAAGACGCGTGGCTGTGTGTCTTACCTGTCCGGCCCAAGTGAAGTTGTTGATCTGCGACACGCTGTTCGCTGAGAGCCTCTTAACCTGGACGGAGCTGATAGTCTGAGGAACGTTGATCGACGCAGTGTAGGTGTGGCCACCACTGGGGTCGGTATTGGTGTTGAACAGAGCGACACGTGCGGGCTCGTCGCCCTCGTAGATAGCATAGGCTGGAGTCCTGTTGCTGTCCTCGGCGGCGTAGAGATCTGTGACACGAGCAGTGCCGGTTCGTCCGACGATCTCGGCCATGATGAGCACCACGTAGTATGTGGGGCCGACAGTCCACTGTGAGAAACTGGTTTGATTCGTAGGGGCGGCGGTGAACGGCTATAGAAGACGTCAACTAGGGATCAGTGTACCGCGAGAACGGTCGACGCACGTTGTAGTAAACACTTTGACCACCAACGTGGAACAGTGCCTCGCTGAAGTTCTTGCGCGCCAATTGGAGAGCGTAATCCAATCCCCAAAGGGCGCCGGCGAAGGCGTTACTGATGCCTGGGAAACCACCGCAAGAGGCGGTGTTGGT